TTCAGCGAAATCGGTTGAGAATTGATCGAGAAATTTCTGATCTATTTCGGAAGCTGATTTCAGCCTAAATAACTTCAACGTTAAGTAATAAATAAAATTTTTATTTCTGACCGTCTCTCTCTTAATTACAGATTAAAATTTTACATATTTTGTATTTAAATTTTGTTCGCGCGCGCGATGTATGTATGTACAATAATTCTGGGTTAGGTACGATAATTTTACAGCCCTGTGGGGTGCGTTCCGTTTCTCGCATGATGCGCATAATGCATCGTTTATCCTTGTTGCTCACCAAATGTTAAACAAGGACAATGGATACATCATGCGCATCATGCGCGATACGGAACGCACCTCTTGTACGATCGGCCACTGCAGACTGCTTCTAAGTTACCAACACTGGCGCCATCTCATTGTTTGTTTTGCAGTTCGTGTGGAGACAACGGTGTGTCCCGTTTTCGGATAATTTTTTGTATAATTTTGAAAGTGTATGTGTGTTTTACGTGAGTACATACTTGATAGACGCTCGTAAAATCATAAGGCATCTCAGTTTCACCGCCAGAAGTGAAAGATGCGCGAGTTCTTACTCGCGAGATCGCAAAATCGATCACGAGATGCAGATCCTTGTCGCACCCACGCCTCGAGGGACTGATGTTCATCGAGGGGTCGTCGGTCACCCGTTTCAAGGATCTTCCTCATTATGCTTGCGAGCTCTGATTCGCTCGAGTCATCCGTAACAGCCTACGCTTCAGCGACCAGCCTTTTGATGTTAGATCGTCGGTGTAGGAAATGTCGCAAGTACACGGGAATCCAGTGGCTCTCATCGGCGGTTAAGTAGAGAGAGCACGGCTCCTCCTCCTGCCAATACGATCGTATGACATCGAAGAACCGACGGTACGTAGCGATCGAGGCGGTGTACCTCCTCTTGCCAACCACTTTAGCGGTCAAATGGAGTAGAGCATGGCTCCTTCTCTGGAGAGGCAGACGAGCAGCAGTCAAGTGGAATGGACGCAGTTCCTCCTCCTGCCAAGGGCAGGAAAAGTTTCGGCAAAAAAGGATGTAACCGACGGTTTCTTCTGCCAAATACTCGCTGTTTTCTCAGTCATCTATGCCAGCGCTCTTTAAGGGCCAAGGTAAGGACCCCTTGTTTCCCCATAATACAGATCTAAGCGCCTAGCGGTTGAGAAAAGTAAAAGGTGACTCCTCCTTCCACAACTGAGTATTCGGATTTTTTTAATCCAAGCTTTTTCTGGGATACCCAAGTGCTAACCTCTAATCTTGCTGGAGGTTTTTGATCATCCACGACATGTTTGGAATTCTTATGGCACCAGATTCCATTCAGGAAGAAGCCTGTTACAGCTAGGCGATGACGTCCATTTTAAAATGGGCGTGATCTAAGCATGAGGTGTAGATCCTGAAGGGTAAGGGATCCAAATAGCAGAGCATCTCTCAGCAAAATTGCACAAATCTGTGGTTGCTTATGATGCTAGTAACTTACCGTGGATTTATCTTCAATAATTTCGAATATACCGACATTGTAGTAACTGATAGACAACATATATATATTGCCATCAGTGTAACAGCAAGAGCCTGTGATTTGAAAGATCCATAGATCCTTTCTATATTAAATCAAAGGACTGGCAAGTAGCCGCCCACTTAGGCCCAGTTTCACAACTGACTGTTAACTCTTATTTCTTTTCAATTCTAGAATTGGAAAAAGATGAGAAATAAGTTGAACCTCGGTTAAGAATTAACTGTGAGTTGTGAAACTGGGCCTTAATATTTTCGGGAACTTGAATAGCCGCTCTCATCATGGCTTCGGTGTTTTAACGGTGTGGACTCTCGTGCGAGTTGCTCGAGATCCACCGTTACATAGAAATTGGTCAAGCCGAGTTAAATGCTAAAGATGTCAATTTGATAAATTTTTCAGGACGATGCTAATCTTGCTACATGTTCAAGTGGTGGAATGAAGATTAGGTGGCTGTATCCCAAGCAGCTATGATGGTACACCAAAGACATAGAGAATGGACTGCGCGATCCATATGTCAAAGTGGTCGATAGGGATGAGAGAGAGGAACCGTGGCAGACGGCCATTTCTATCTCTTTCCATTCAATGGTGTAATGGGAGAGAGAATGAGAAGGAGATTGGCCGTCTCCCACGGTCCCTCTCTCTCATTATTGTCGACCACATTTGATACATTACTTAGATACGGATCGCACAGTCCATTCTCTATGTCTTTGTGGTACACTGTCTAAGTGAGAAGCCTCCCGTTATGCTATTATGAACAGCTCGCAAATAACGCCTTGGTACGAGCTTCTTCTAACAGTAAGGATTTAGAATCGACAAAGACTGCAGTCAGCATTCATCATTTTCCATTCCACGTCCAAATTACCAGTTCTTGTCCGACCACTGACGTTAAGCGGGCGGGATCCGATAGCACACATCATTAATTGGCCAATTTAAAATAAAATATTCTTGGTAAAGTATTCTTGGTAAAAATTACTAGGCACCGGCCAATTTGAGTGGATGTGTGCTATCGCACTGTGCGCTAACGGGACCCTCCCCGTTAAGCGACGTTAAGCAACATTAGTACTTGGTTGGATGACCGTTTGGGATCACCATGTAAAATTATCGCAAATTATCGCATCATCGACAAGGCTGTCTCCAAGAATAGCGGCATTTCTGCGCTTGTAAAGTTACTGAGTTTCCCAGGAGAGTCTCCCGCAGAGTCTGTTCTCTTTTACGCAATAACACGACATTGCACATCTTATTGCCTCATCAAGTGGTTTCTAAGATGGTCATGCGCTTTGCTGGTGGTTTACTTCTTCGAATGGATGGGGCATGTCCCAGGGAAATGTGCATATGCATCGACAAACCTTTATCCAAAGCAACGCAACGCTTCTCAACGGATTGCAAGATCCTTAGAATTGTCAGCACCAGAATGCTGTCCTATATTAGCAGATGTGGATTCTTCCAGTATTTTATTTCACCGAGATTGTAAAAGTCAAAAGTAAAGCCAAAGAGCTATGTTATTATAATTATAACGTCAATGTACAATGAAATCAATCATATTATAATTATCACGCCATTGTATAGTAAGATCAATCTTATATTGCCATTCGTTCACGTAGTGACGGAGAAGAGTTTAATAACCTATACTATCAGCAGACTGGACCGGCCTCTTTATCAGATTCGATTATCAAGCGTTGTTCTAACACTGCATTGTTAGTAGGAATTTCGCAGTCAATACCGTACACTTTCTTTGGGGTCTTTCGTTCCCCAGCTTTTAGGCCTTCTAGTGTCGGAACTAACAAGCATCTCTATCCCTTTCGGATTTAACTCTTCGAAGTCAGCTGATTTGCGAATATTCCACAACCATCCCATAACCAGGGAAATAGCGACGATCGGGCTTTTCCTTCCTCGTTACAATCTCATATGAATCAACTCTGCCGTAATTAAAGTAACAGAATTTATCCATATAACTTGATTCCTTTTAAAAAAAGATAATCATTAATTTGGTGCTTTTACTTACCCTCTGAACGACCAATTGAGCTCAGACCTCTAGATCTCTTAATTCATCCCTCAGGGACATTTGGATATCTTTGTCATATTAATCGTATGTAACATAGTTTCCTAAACTTTTTTGAAGCTAAGGAGCATGACCTTGTGTTCCCTAGACTAGGTTCATGGAGTGGCACGCGAGGCGGAAGCGCCAGACATCCACTTTGATTTTTGGCGGTACTTCAAACACTGTTGTCGAAACGTGCGCAGGCGCACTATTACAAGTGCTATATCCATCTGGACGAGATTAGCGATATAATTAAGATCGAACTTCACTTAGGTAAGTTCGTTTAATCTAATAATTATATATGATGCGCGAAACCGTCACCAAAAATTTCATATTAAGTGCTGGAAAAAGAAATGAAAAAAAAATACGTTTACGGCGATCCTTTTTTATATGTCGGAACGTCTTCAGATAAATGACGTGCCATCTTGAAGAACGTATCTTGTCTGATCAAATCTCTAAATACGAAGGAAACAGTTGTCAATAGTGGTCTTTGAAATCCTCTCTTCGATAAATTGTTTGACGTGTAAATCGGAGACTTTTCCCATTGTAAATCGCAGCTAAAATCATTGTACAATGTAACAACATGAATGTTGAAGTCAATTAATTTTTTAATTGATACGATGAGGTATCTTACAAAGCTGTCTTTAGTTGAGTGACAAAATTTTTTTTATTCTATAAATTATTATGTAAATAAAATATATCAGGATAGATTAAATTTATAAAATTTAAAGTTTATAAAGAGTATAGATTAAATTTATAAAATTTAAAATTTATAAAATTTTGAAGACTTTGCTTTTGTATATAGAGTATACCTTTGCCACTGCGAGCACGGTCGTCTTTCTTTGAAGCAAATAACCTGAATTACGTTGAAGAAGAGCGCGCCGAGAGTATTAGCCACCTCGGTATTGAGATTCTGTAAACATCTGCGGAATTTGGCATCGCAATCACAATGTGAGCGAGTAAATGGCGAGTTATTGCATATGCCGTGTATGCATTGTTGCGGCGCTATTGTGATTGAGCAATGATCATGTTCCCTACAGCAAGCATCCTCGACCGAATGTTTGCCCAAATCATCGTAGGAACTGGCCACGTTACCTGGTCCACACCATTTAGTACCCGGATATATTATACCACCGTCGAGCGCTTGCTTCTGAAGAAAGAAGTTTTAGAAGTTGTAATTAATTGATTATTCCGAGTATCTTAAAGGACATTTTTAAAAGTAACCTATTTTCGAATGCAATAACACTTGGAGAAAAATACTATTCTATTGCTATATAAGAAAAGTGATTACTCAGTTTACTTTTTTTCTTTTAAGGGGATGCTGGAGCCGCCTATATTTACCGATAAAAGTAGCGTTTTTGATATTTTTGTTCCTGTCGCATTTCTTCGTAATGGTTTAAATTCACAGAATAAAAATTCCCTTTCCACGATGAAAATGTACATGCTGATTTACTTGTCACTGGTGTATTTTGTGTTCAAAGCTGAAAAAAAATAAAAAAATTGCAGATTTCTTTCTCTTCAGCGTTGGTCGCCATACTGAGATAAAAATGGATTGAAAAATCTGTAATTTTTTTTCCGGCTTTGAACACAAAATAGACCAGCGACAAGTACATTAGCATGTACATTTTAATGATGAAAAAAGAATTTTCATTCTGTGGAACTACTACGAAGAAATTGGACAGGAACGTCAAAAATGCTAGCTTTATTGGTAATACAGGCGGCTCCAGCATCTCCTTAACTAACGATGATATTTAAAGCCGTAATCACACTACAGACTCTTGACTCTGACTCGACCACCGACTCGGACTCCCGACTATCATTCTACCAATCACAGCAAGGCAGCGGATTTGTGAAGCTAGCACGGCATTCTATCGATATCAAAAAAAGTACAACAGTTCCAGTAGCACTTTTCATAGTTCTACAGTTCTACCTAAAAATAATAAATAGTTCCGCACTTTTAATATGAAAAAAACAAGATTGAAAATATAGCGTGCTAACGTCGCGAATCTGGCACGTCAGTTTTCCTCTAAAGTACGAGAAAATGATAAATATTTGCACTTTTAGCAACAGTTCCCGACAGTTCTACTCAAAATCTACTAAGATACGCAGTTTCAAAACAAAATACCAAAATTTAATAATTTCTAAACATCTTATATATAGAAAATAGCATAACACTTGAAAAAAAAGTGTCGTGCTGCCTGCATATGG